CCTCACATTAATCTGAAATTAAAAAAAAATTAAAAAAGAAAAATAATTATCTCTGCCTCTCACAGGGCAGACTCAAGTAAGAAAACACATGTGAATGAACTTTTCTAACCAGAAAAGGCCTATGGGTATTGCTGTCATTCACATTATCTGCACCAACCCTCTAATCTTCCAGATAAGGAAACCCAAGCTCAGAAAAGTCACGTGGTAGCAGCCAGGGCTAGACCCTGTCTTCTGAGTGTCTGTTACACGCCCATTTAGTAAGTGGTAGTCACAGGCATAAACTTTGTGCTTTTCCTCAGCTTGTATTAAGGAAATACTTCATTGAAAACTTAGGTTGAAGATTAAAAAGAAAAAAGAAAAAAAGGGTTTCTGGGTAAAGCGAGGTATCAGTAGTAAAGACAACCTCAATATTCCCTCCCTGGTTTGGGAGCTTTCAGTCCAGGGCTCAGCGGCCTGGTGCTTAGCAGCCTTAGCAGTCTCTGTGCCCGGCCACTGCTTGGCTCCTGGGGTGAAGGTGGGTTGGGGGTAGCTGGAGCCAGCACCTCCAAGAACATCTGCTCCCGAACTCATCAGCGGGTGAAGAGCGTACAGGAGGTAGTGAGGGTCCTGGTCTCAGGACAGATCGTCCAAGGTGTGGAGCGGAGTGGGTGGTGGAGCGGAGGCCCTCTCATTTTGGGAGGGCGGTCCTTGACCCTCGTTTGGAGAGGTGCAAGGATGTATAGACATGGAAGCGCCTTTCCAGGGCGCTCGGAGGTCGGAAGTCTCTCCCCTTTCAGATCCCATTCTCCCGCGGAGGAGTTATGTTTATTTTCCTGAACTATATTATTTCCCAGGCCGGCAACTGGCCCTGAGCCACCGAACGGCCCCTTGGGAAAAGTAGTTCAATTTTGCTAACAGGGAAGTTCCCTTCGCCCCGTCTGCTAGAGCGTCTCATTTTCGGAAACCTCAAATCACAGAGCGTTCCATAATCACCCCGAAAACTGAAGTCCCAGCCTCTGCTGTCTTAAGGGGTCTGGCATTCTGCAGAGGCGTGGGAGGGAGAGACTACATCTCCCAGCAGCCACCGCGCGTCTCAGTGCGCAGGCGTAGCCGCGCCTCACCACCCCTCCCCCTCCTCCAACTGCTCCCATCGGTCCGTTCCCGTATTCCCCCCATCAGTCCTAATGTCCCCGTCTCTCCGGCAGCTCACACTCACCGCGAACTCGCGGTGTCGGGTATAAGCGCTGTGCCTTCTCCAGGAAGCGGAGAGCCCGGTCGGGCTGGTTGCTCTGGATGGCCTTGAGAGCGATGCTAATACAGCGCTCGGCTTCATCCTTGTTGGATTCCATGGCGGAACCACAGCGCGGAACCAGGGAGGGGGAGGCCGGGCGAGCGAAGGGCTGCGCCAGCCGCCGGCGCGTCGCGGTGCAAGCCGGCGCAGAATGATGACACGAACCCTCGGCCCCGCCTTCCCTGAGTGGAGCGAGATTTGAGCGAGGGCGGAAGCGCTACCGTATGTCGTCTAAGAGAGGGACGCCT